GGCAACTGGCCTGAGGCAGCTCCAGAGACAAGCTCTGCAGTTACCTTGGGCATGGCTGACTTTGGCTGGATCCTTGTGGCCGGTTGGGAGGCCCTGCACGTGCGTGACACCAGAAGCCAGATCCGCCCTTGGGGTGAAGTGCAGCCATGTGCAGACAGACCCAACGGGAGAAGCTTGAGAACATGGACCCTGGGGTCCGATGCGTTCAGGTGAGAGGCTGGGAGATTGCGGGAGGGAATTCCAATAGGAGAGGGGATCGAAATCTTCTAGAACTAACGACACCCAAAAAAGATGTCCTTTTCCCTTCTTCCTTCAACTCCATATGGCTCACGGACTCTTGTGGGAGGAGGCTGGGCTACTACTGGTCATGGCTTTCCTGTCCACCAGCTCAGCCTTCTCACAGGAGGCAGAGGGTCCCCCACATGGGAATCACCTGGGTGTTTGAGGGAAGTGTGGATTCCTGGGCCTCCAGGTCATACGGAATCAGAAGCTCTAGGAGGGGGAGCTAGACACCAGCACATTTCCAAGGGATTTCATCACCCACAGCAGTTAGAGACCTGGTGCTTTTGGTCGCTCAGGGTAGGAACCGCAATGTCCCTCTTACAGTCCAAGACAACGAGGCCCAGAGAGTTTTTCTGTCAATGTCCTCAGGTTGGAACCTAGCAGGAACCTAGCCTAATGGAATGTGGACTGGCTTGGGAATCTGGCAGTTCTGCGTCCAAGTTCCTGCTCTTCTCTTTCCAAGCCTAGAGCCACAGTTGGGTCTAAAGCAGAATGGCAAATCCAGCCCAGAGATGGTGTGGCTTGCTAGCTAAGAATGGTTTTTACACTTCTAAATGGTTGAAAAAAAACTCAGAAGAAAAATATTTTGTGACATGAATATTACATAAAATTCAAATCCCAGTGTCCTTAATGACTGATTGGAACAGAGTCACGCTCACTTGTTTTTATCTTGTCTGTGGGCTGTTTTCATGCTACAGAGCAGAGTTGAGAAGTACAGTTGAGATTGTATAGCCCCCAAGCCTAAAGTAATTCCTATTGGGTTCTTTACAGAAAAGGAATGCAGAAGTAGGAAGTCAAGAAACACCTGGAATAACAGGCAAATTTGGCCTTGGAGTACAGAATGAAGCAGGGCAAAGGCTAATAGAGTTTTGCCAAGAGAACGCACTGGTCATACCAAACACCCTCTTCCAATAACACAAGAGAAGACCCTACACTTGGTCATCACCAGATGGTCAACACTGAAATCAGATTGATTATATTCTTTGCAGCCAAAGATGGAGAAGCTCTATACATTCAGCAAAAACAAGACCAGGAGCTGACTGTGGCTCAGACCATGAACTCCTTTTTAACAAATTGAAGAAAGTAGGGAAAACCACTAGACCATTCAGGTATGACCTAAGTCAAATCCCTTACGATTATACAGTGGAAGTGACAAATAGATTCAAGGGATTAGATCTGATAGACAGAGTGCCTGATGAACTATGGACAGAGGTTCATGAGATTGTACGAGAGACAGGGATCAAGACCATCCCCAAGAAAAAGAAATTCAAAAGAGCAAAATGGCTGTCTAAGGAGGCCTTACAAATAGCTGTGAAAAGAAGAGAAATGAAAAGCAAAGGAGAAAAGGAAAGATATAGCCATTTGAATGCAGAGTTCCAAAGAATAGCAAGGAGAGATAAGAAAGCCTTCCGCAGTGATCAGTGCAAAGAAATAGAGGAAAACAATAGAATGGGAAAGACTAGAGATCTCTTCAAGAAAATTAGAGATACCAAGGGAACATTTCATGTAAAGATAGGCACAATAAAGGACAGAAATGGTATGAATCTAACAGAAGCAGAAGATATTAAGAAGAAGTGGCAAAAATATACAGAAGAACTGTACAGAAATCTTCACGACCCAGATAATCACAATGGTATGATTACTAACATAGAGCCAGACATCCTGGAATGAGAAGTCAAGTGGGCCTTAGGAAGCATCTCTACAAATGAAACTAGTGGAGGTGACAGAATTCCAGTTGAGCTATTTCAAATCCTAAAAGATGATGCTGTGAAAGTGCTGCACTCAGTATGCCAGCAAATTTGAAAAACTCAGCGGTGGCCACAGGACTGGAAAAGGTCAGTTTTCATTCCAATCCTAAAGAAAGGCAATGCCAAAGAATCCTCAAACTACCACACAATTGTACTCATCTCACACGCTAATAAAGTAATGCTCAAAATTCTCCATGCCAGTCTTCAATAGTATGTGAACTGTGAACTTCCAGGTGTTCAAGCTGGTTTTAGAAAAGGCAGAGGAACCAGAGATCAAATTGCCAACATCCAATGGATTATCAAAAAAGCAAGAGAGTTCCAGAATATTATCTATTTCTGCTTTATTGACTATGCCAAAGTCTTGGACTGTGTGGATCACCACAAACTGTAGAAAATTCAAGAGATGGGAATACCAGACCACCTGACCTGCCTCTTGAAAAATCTGTATGCAGGTCAGGAAGCAACAGTTAGAACTGGACATGTAAAACAACAGACTGGTTCCAAATAGGGAAAGGAGTCTGTCAAGGCTGTGTATGTCACCCTGCTTATTTAACTTATATGCAGAGTACATCATGAGAAACATTGGGCTGGATGAAGCACAATCTGGAATCAAGATTGCCGGGAGACATATCAATAACCACAGATATGCAGATGACACTACCCTTATGGCAGAAAGTGAAGAAGAACTAAAGAGCCTCTTGATGAAAGTGAAAGAGGAGAGTGAAGAAGTTGGCTTAAAGCTCAACATTCAGAAAACTAAGATCATGGCATCTGGTCCCATCACTTCATGGCAAATAGATGGGGAAACAGTGGAAACGATGATAGACTTTATTTGTTTGAGCTCCAAAATCACTGCAGATGATTAAAAGAGGCTTACTCTTGGGAAGAAATGCTCTGACCAACCTAGACAGCATATTAAAAAGCAGAGACATTACTTTGCCAACAAAGGTCCATCTAGTCAAAGCTATGGTTTTTCCAGTGGTCATGTATGGATGTGAGAAAGTCATGTATGAAAGAAAGCTGAGTGCCAAAGAATTGATGCTTTTGAACTGTGGTGTTGGAGAAGACTCTTGAGAGTCCCTTGAACTGCAAGGAGATCCAACCAGTCCATCCTAAAGGAAATCAGAAACTGAATATTCATTGGAAGGACTGATGCTGAAGCTGAAACTCCAATACTTTGGCCACCTGATGTGAAGAGCTGACTCATTTGAAACGACCCTGATGCTGGGAAAGAATGAAGGCTGGAGGAGAAGGAGAGGACAGAGGATGAGATGGTTGGATGTCATCATGACTCAATGGACATGAGTTTGAGTAAACTCCGGTAGCTGGTGATGGACAGGGAGGGCTGGGTTCTGCAGTCCATAGGGTTGCAAAGAGTCAGACAGGACTGAGTGGCTGAACTGAGCTGAACTGAACTGAAGTGCCTTAAATCCCTCCTACCTCTGGACAGGATTGGTTGAGAGTTTTGGTGGGTGGGGCTAGTATCAGGGGCTGCAGAGAGCAGGCGCAGGGCTGGGAGGGGTTCAGCCATGAGCAGGGTAAGGGGCTCACAGCTTAGCCCAGGAGTTGGGGTGAGCATGAATAAAGGCTAGATGAAGGCAGTGTGTGCTCAGGCCCAAACAATTGAGAATTGGGATTGGGGAGGTCTGACGAGTAGGGACTGTGAGGGCTGAGATGGTCCACTTTTAGGGAGAAGGTGTGACTTGAATGAGGTTTAAAAGGATGGTTAGATAAGTAGAGTGGAAGGAGAATGTAAGATCACTGAGGCAGGAGAGCTTGCATCTTGCCTAGAGGACAGAAGGGGCCCAGCTGGTCTGGAGTGAAGATATTCTTTGTCCAGGAGAGGCGAGATTGGGACTAGAAGGTCAGTTCATAGAGAGGCTTGAGTGCCAGGCTCGTGAGCAGGCATTATGTCCAGTTGGCAATGGGGAACCACTGAATATTACTGAGTGGAGGAACCACTGAATGTTACGTGTTCTAACTGGATGGCTGAGCTTGAGTCAGGCTGGCAAGATATTGGGAGGGAGAGCATGTGAGGAGAATCAAAAGGGGAAGGATCGTGATTCCAAGGTCAGTTAAGACTAAAGACTCTTTGACCCTTTGGGTGGAGGTATGTAATGTTACATGCAGAAAACCCCTTTAGGGGCCTAGGTATCTTGTCTTGAAAGAGGTCTCAGATCATTAGTGGACAGACCTGCCTCCCACTCATCTGTGCAGTTGAGAGCAATCCCTTCACCCCTACAAATCCTCAGTTTTCCCCTCTGTGAATTGGGCATGATTTAGCTGGTCTTCAAGGACGAGTGTGGGGATTAATGAGAGAAGGAAGAAAGGGTCTAGCCCAGTGTTTGGAGCATAATAGGTCCTCCGCAGATGGTGTTCCCTCCCCATCTGCCATTATGGAGCTGGCACAGAGCTAGACACAAAGTCTGGCCCTCCAGTCACCACCAATTAGAGAGAGTTTCTGCTTTCAGAAAGGGACGTTGGGGCTTCCCTCATAGCTCAGTTGGTAAAGAATCCGCCTGCAATGCGTGAGACCTGGGTTTGATCCATGGATTGGGAAGATCCCCTGGCGAAGGGAAAGGCTACCCACTCCAGTATTCTGGCCTGGAGAACTCCATGGACTGTATGGTTCATGGGGTCGCAAAGAGTCGGACACGACTGAGTGGCTTCTACCCATTCTGATTTCAGAGGTCATTTATTATTCAATCATTCAGAGTCATTTCAGAGGTCATTTATTGTTTGGTCATTCAACCAGCATTCAAGCCACATTTCCAAGCACCTACTGTGTGCTACTTGCAGGGACACAGAGTTGAATTAGACCACTATCCATTGGCCTTGGAAACTTTATTAACTCATTCTTTCAGCAACGCCCATGGAGCCCTACTGTGCACTTTGGCTGGGATATGGGGGTGGGTGTTGGGGAGAAAGAGAGCCTGGCTGGTGGGGGCGGGGATGAATCAACCCCACAGGTCATGCCTCTGCGTCAGGGAAGAGCAGGAAGCCGGAGAAGATGCTGTTGGCGCCGTCGATGCCCACCAGGGCGTTCTTGTCGGTGGCCTGCAGGAAGACGGTCTCTTCCTTCTCCAGCTTGAGCACAATGCTGCCTGTGGTGACCTGGAAGGTGTTCTGGACGTAGTCGCAGAAGGTGACCACCTTCCGGGGCGCCTCCCAGCCCCGCATTATGTCCACGCACAGCTGTCCTCGGGAGCTGGCGTGGTAGGTGAAGAAGTAGAGCCCGGGCACCTTGCACGTGAACTTGCTGATCCGAGCCTGGTAGTTTTCATTGGCATTGGTGATCACATGGTCAAAGCGGATGGGCTGGCCTGATTTCAGGTGGTGGTTGATGGTGCGTGAGGCCGAGAAGGCAATTTTCTGCGTGGCCCTGTAGTCTCCTGATTCACCCTTGGGGCCGCGGGCTCCGGGAGGCCCTGGGACACCCTTGGGCCCAACAGGGCCCTTGGGGCCGACTTTTCCCGGCATCCCAGGAAACCCTGGGTCCCCCTTCTCGCCATTCTCGTTGAGGTGTCTAACTAGCCCTGGAAGCCCTGGAAAAGCAGAGATGAAAGAAATGAGGGGGCCAGAGATGGCTGAGGACCGGAAGAGGCTGGGCTGGGAGGCAGGGAGCCTGACTGGGTAACCTCAGACAGGCCCCTGCTCCCCTCTGGGCCTCTGTGTCCCGTCTGTGAACACGAGGATGGGAGGCTGGTGGGCCTGTGAGTCTCCTTACAGCCCAGCTTTCCACATCTGGGATGTGCTTGGTGGTAATGGGGACCAATGCCCATCAGGGTGGGGGGGCGGTGTCTTGCTAAACCTGGAAGTGGGCATTCGAGCCCTTTGCATTCCACCACTCTAAACCCCTCCGTGGTCTGGCACAAGATGTAAAACCTTTTCTTCCAGGAGAGTGGCAGAGGATAGTTATTGTGAGTTTCCTGTGGGCTCAGGGGACAGGCAGGTGATTCTTACATCACCTCTGCCATTCTTAGTTGTGTCCCCTTGATTGAGTCACATTCCCCAAGGCTCAGCTTCCTCATCTGGAGAATGGGGATGATGGTATTTTGTGGGCTCGTGAGGATTCGATGAAATTGTGTGATGAGAGCAGTTGGCTGTGGTTAAATGGATGCGCGAACTACATCTCACAGGGGGCTTTGAGAGGCAGGCAGCTTCATCTGAACCCACTGACAACTCTGCAAAGGAGCACCATCCTTGTTTTACAGGTGAGGAAAGAGCAGTTCAGAGAGCTGAAGCCGCCGACCCTGAAGGTACCCCAGGACTCTGGCCACAGTGGATTTAGTGGTGAGAGAGCCAAGGCTGGCCTCAGCCTCAACGTTGACTGGGCTTCCCCGGTGGCTCAGGCAGTAAAGAATCTGCCTGCAATGCGGGAGACCAGGGTTCAATCCCTGGGTAGGGAAGATCCCCGGAGAAGGAAATGGTAACCCATTCCAGTATTCTTGCCTGGAAAATTCCACGGACAGAGGAGCGTGGTGGGCTCTAGTCCACGGGGCCACAAAAGAGTCGGGACATGACTGAGAGGCTAACACTTCACTTTCAACATTGACTGGGCTCCCTTGGGCAAGTCAGTAGCCTTTCTGGACATCAGTTTTCCCACTTGTAAAGTGGGGATCAGAATCCCTTCCTTGCAAGGTTATTGTGAAGGGCTCAGCAAGCTGATGGCTTTGCAAGTGTTTTGCACTCTCTAAGGTGGGCCGCTGCCTTGGGAGGTGGGTCGCTGCCTTGGGAGGTGGGTGACGGGGCCTTGGGGAGTGACCCTCGTGTGTCCCCAGCGTCCACAGTACCTTGCTCTCCCTTTGTCCCTGGAGTCCCAGGCTTGCCGTCAGGGCCTGGTTTCCCGGGAATGCCCGGGATGCCAGGGATGGATGGCCCGATGCAGCTGCTCTGGGCCCGGGAGACACGGAGCAGATTCAGAAGCAGCAGCGGCAGAAGCACCGAAATGCTGCCCCGAGGGGTCTTCATCACGGCCTGTCTCAGCTGCTCCCTGTTGGGGGACAAGACGATGCAGTTGGTCATGGCCACGGTCTGTCCATTCATTTCTTCACTTGTTCCTATGTTCCCTGAGGGTCTTATCCACCAGACCCTGTTCTGGGTGCTAGGGATACAGTGATGAACAAGACAGATATGGTCCCTGCCTTCATGGAGCTGACGGTCTGGGGGACTAGAAACGGGTCAACATGCAAGTCAATGGAACTGGTTATACGTTGTGGGGAGCACTCTGGCTGAAATGAAATGAAAGGGGGCCCTGAGGGCTGATTTTGTGAGGGGCGTTCTCCTGCCAGAAAAGTTTTCTAGACAAGGGAGGCATCTCTGAGAAGTGATGTTTAGGCTGAGACCCAAAGGATCAGACAGGGCTGGGGCAAGAATGTTCCAGGAGGAAGGGACAGAAGGCAAAGGCGCAAAGGCCGCACAGCGTCTGGAGTGTTGAGAACCGGCAGGGAAGTCAGGGTCTTGATTGCTGTGGTTTGAGATTTTGGTCCAAAGGTTCTCAGTCATTTGAGCTTCTGAATTCAGGCTGCCTGTGCTTTTTCCCACAGTGGGCCGCATTATATCCTCAGAGCAGCTCTGCCCGGAAGAACCGATTTGTCTACACTGAAGAGGAGACGGAGGTTCAGAGAGGTCAAGTCACTTGCTCAGGGTCACACAGGAAGGACTGCAGCCAGGACTTGAACCCAGGCCTGTGTGGCATTGAAGCCAGTGACCTTGCCAGTGTAGCAGGCCACCTCTTCTGGTAGAATAGTCTCGGGTCCCTCCAAAGGCTCTGGGCCCTGGTGAGAATCCTGGGGAATGGGACAGAAACCCTGGGGTGTCTTGAGCTTGTCAGCATGGCCAACGCCCATGGCATCAATTCTCGGGACAGAAGGGACCTTAAAACTCATCTAGTCCAACCCTTAGCTTCTTCCTTTTTAAAAATTGAGTTGATATTCTCATAACACAAATTTAACCGTTTTAAAGTGAACATTTCAGTGGTGTTTAGCACATTCACAGTATTGTATAACCCTCTCCTCTGTCTAGTTCCAAACTATTTCCATCAATTCGACAACCCTCAAAAAACATTCGGTACTCACTAGTTAGTTACCCCCAAATCGCCCTCCCCGCTTCGGTCCCTGGCAACCCACTCCTCTGCCTTCTGACTCTATGGATTTACCTATTCTGGATATTTCATAGAAGTAGAATTGTATATACTATGTAACCTTTTGTGTCTGACATTTCATTTAGCATAATGTTTCTGAGGTTCATCTACATTGTAGCATGGATCAGTACCTCATTCCTTCTTAACGGCTGAATAATATTCCATTGCATGGACATATTACATCTTGTTAATCCATTTATTATTGATGGGCATTTGGGAAGTTTCCACCTTTTGCTTATTGTAAATAGCCCTGCTGTGAACATTCACGTACAAGGTTGTCTGAATACTTATTTTTAATTCTTGGGTATATACTTAGAAGTGGAATTACTAGGTCTTATGGCAATCCTGTGTTCAACTTCTTGAGGAACCCTCAGCTTACTGTTAAGTCTCCCCAATAACATCTCTGCCCAGGCCTCTTCCCATCCATGGCTTGTACCATTTCAGTGATGGGAAGCTCATTGCCTTCCGAGGCAGCCTGTTCCACTTTTGCCCGTATCCAATTTCTCCCCATCTTTCAAGGCTCCTGTCAAAGCCTTTCTGTTTCAGGAAGGCTTCCCTCATTAGCCCTCAGCCCACGGAAGCTGGGCCGTCTCCTGCTCTTGTACAGGTGAGCAGCATGATCCCAACCCATCTCCCAGGATAATCATGGGGACCCACGTGAAGCCGTGGCTGGGAAAGAGACGGAGTTTTGGGGCTCTAGTTCAGACCCATAGCTGCTGTTGTCTGATCCTCACAGCACCCTGGAGGAGTGAGTCGTGATTATTTTCCCATTTTGCAGATGAGGACACTGAGGTACAAACATTAGAAAACAACCCTTCCTAAATCACCCAGTGAGTTGGTTAATGGCAGGACTGTGGTCAGAACCCTGGGCCTTACAGTGCCTGTGCTAACCCAGAATTTGGCACCTGGAGACCTTCCTGGTACTAGAAAAACCTGCTTATTTGGGCTTGTGTGCTCAGAAAATCAGCCCCAGCCCCCTCGGTCTGGTCCTGATCAGTTCATGGCTCAGACTCCTGAGTGAGGCCGGAAGCTATGCTGGATACCATGCAAAGAGGGACTGCAAAGATGGATGTGACCAGGGCCAAGAGTGACCAGCTTGGGCTCTGTCATGCTCCCAAGAGAGGCTGACATTCTATTTATCTTGCCGGAGGTTTCCCAAACGACAGTTTGACAACCTTAATAATCAATGCATTGGGCACTTAGCAGGTGCCAGGCTCTGTGCCAAATGCTTTCCAGGTCGTTCTTCCATTTGATTTGGTCCTTACAGCAGCCCCCTGAGAAAGCACCCCTGCTGTTTCATTTCACAGATGAAGAATCTGGGCAGCAGAGAGAGTGGGAACCTTGATCAAGGTCACACAGCCACGCATGGCTGGGATTCAAACCCACTTCCACTGGGTCTAAACCCCAGGGGGTGTTACATTAAGAGGCCTCTCTGCATGCATGCTGTTGCTTCAGTCGTATCCGACTTTGTGACCCTGTGGACTGTAGCCTGCCAGGCTCCTCTGTCCATGTGATTCTCCAGGCAAGAATACTGGAGTGGGTTGCCATGCCCTGCTCCAGGGGATCCTGCTGACCAAGGGATCAAACCGGCATCTCCTGTGGCTCTTGCATTGTAGGCAGACTCTTTACTGCTCAGCCACTGGGGAAGCCCAGAGGTCTCTCCACCTGGGGTTAAAACACAGGCTTTGGAGCCAAACAGCCTGACACGGGAGCTACAGCATGGCCTGGTTTAGCGCATTGCTGGAGGTGGGGCCAGTGCTCAGTGACGGCTCTTACTATCATTGCTATCATTGCTGCTCCTGTTGGGAGTATCACCAAAGGTGAGAGGCCTGGAGGGTCACAAGGAGAGGAACAGTGCTCCAGAGGGTCCAAACCAGGCTTCTGCTCCTTCTTAGCTTTAGGCCTTAGGCAAGTGGCTTCTCTCTGGCCACAGTTTCTCCCTCTGTAAAATGGGGATAATCCCGATCTCTGCCTGATCTCTGCTGAGCTTTCTCATCAGACTGCGAGGAAATAAGAGAAGGCAGGTGTCAGAGAAATTGCTGGGTGGGTGGAGGGGGTCCTGTGTTCTGATTTCACCTCTGCCTCTGACATAGGCAGAACCAGGCTAAGTGTGCTAAGCAGTGACTAATGGGGTTGGTGGGAGGACAGGTGAGTTAGGGCTCACCACATCCTGGCGTATTGGAAATGCTTAATGAATATTAGCTATTTTTGAATTATCACCATCCTCTGGGAATCCCCACGTTTCAGGACACCACAGAGGATGCTTGGAAAACTAAAGAAAGAATTTGGTCCCTTTGGGAGATTGGGCTCAGGGAGGGAGCCTGTCAGGAGCAGGCAGCGCAGGGGTGGGGGAGCTCTGGTTGGCTGCCAGGGGCATGGGTAGGGGTAGGGGTTGATGATGAGACTCAGGTCTCTTGAGGAAGCTGGAGGTGGAGTAGGGGACTGGGGTGATCTGGGTTCTGGCCCAATTCAGGGACCACCAAATCTTAGACTTGGGTCAAGACTTAACACAGCAGATCTGACCACCCTCTGCCTTCAGCATCTATCACCACCATCCACCTCACTCCTCACATCTTTCCTGACATCATCCATCTTCCTCCAGCTCCAACAGCCCCTTTCCCCCTGACTTGGAGTCAGGCCAGATTGACCTTGAACTCCCCCTCTGCCACTACCTTGCTGCCTGACTTCAGGCAAGTACCTTAACCTCCCTGAGGCTTTGGCAAAGTTGGCTGCCAAAGGATGATGTGAGATGGAGCCTAGAAGGAACTCGGTCTCTAGCACTGTGCCTGACCGCACACCCTCCTGCACAAGCATCGTTGAGTTGTGTCAACGCTAACTAATAACTCATCACAACTCCACCTGCCATCACGCCACCTCCTCCTTGAAAGAGGCTAGTGGAGCTTTCTCACCAGACTGTGAGGAAATAAGAGAAGGCAGGTGTCAGAGAAAGGCTGGGTGGAGGTGCTGGGTTCTGGTTTCACCACTGCCTCTGACATACCCTGAGTCAGGCAACGTGCTAAGCAGAGGCTGAGCTGGTCTCCTTTAGGGCTCACAGCACCCCTGAAAGGTTCTGTTATCTGCTTAGAGGATCCAGGCTGAGAGAGGTTATGTCATTTGACCCAGATCGCCAGCTCCTGAGAGGCAGAAGCGGGGCTCAGCTCCAGTCTCGGTGACCCCAGAGCCTTTACTCAGATGCCTCCCCATTACCTGGGGCCCCAGGTAGCAGCAGACACCCTAGCTGACCCCCCAGAGGAATTGATTCCCGAGGTCTGGGATGGGGTGCAGGAGCCCTCACTGTCCCACCCTGCAGGTGGCTCTGAGAGGATGTGGGGCCCTACACTCAGGAGGCGCCACCCTCTGCCATATTGGTCCTGCCAGCCGGTCCCCCTATTGCTAAGCCCCGTCCTCACCTGGGAGCCTGGTGTCCTCTGAGGCTGCTGGTCTGGGCAAAGTGGGACCGGGTGCTGGGAGCCTCCTGCTCTCCGTCCAAAGCGGAAGTTCCATTCCCCGGAGATGAGAGGGGCCTTTCCCTGACGGCGCCCTCCCCGGGCCCAGCAGGCCAGCCTCCGCCCCTGCTCACCCCACTCTCACTCTTTCTGCTGTCCTCAGGCTGTTTCAGGTTCCACTTCTGCAATCGGGAGGGGTTTACTGTAAACATGATGGGTGGGTGGTCAGTTTGGTTTCGCCAGCTCAGCAGCTGCTGGGGGGAATAGGGTGTTCCAGGGGAATGCCCACAATGGTGGGGGGCAGCGCCTGCCAAGGCTCCTGACCTCATGAACTTCTGCAGGAACTGCGGTGTTCCTCCACGGAATGGAGATGTGGCCGGCCT